AAAGTAATTATTATATATCATGCCATGGGTCCCAAGAAAGTCAGTGGTAAGGTTCAACCTTAGTAAACACATGTGAAGATGGCCATAGAGGAAAAACAGGTCTCTATGGAAAGGTTCTTAGTGAGAAAAACAAGCAGTGAGCCACAACCAGTTCCTTGTGGTATGCAGGCAAAACATAGGAGAGACTAACCCAGAGAAGTCATCACTGCCTGATGTTATAATGGAAGGGGACTCCCCTTCCAAACACTAACACCTCTCCTCCTCCCCCCCCCCTTTGTCACCGTCTTCCATACACCAACAAGAGTCTTCAATAAAGCTAAGCTACAACTTGTACATACTATAATACAAAATATTTGTGTTTATTATGTATGAAATGGATTTTGAAGTTAATACTTTTGAGAGTGTGGAACGGATTAATTCAATTTACATTATTTCTTATGGGAAAATTAGTTTCGGGTTACGAATTTTCAGGGTTATGAGCCATCTCTGGGAACGGATTAAATTAGTAAACAATGGTACCTGTACCACTGTACTTTGCTTTCCAAAAAAGTATCAAATCAGACAAACAAGACAAGTCCATCATTAAAGGTAAATAAAAAAAAAAAAAATTTGTATCATTGCTCCAATTTTTTTTATGTTAATTATTAGTGATCCAGAAGAGCATCCTACCCCCATTTATAGCATTGTGCCTATAGAAAATTTGGTTCAGTTACTAACACCTTTTCAAAACATCTCATTTGCAAGTAGGAGACTTTGCATACCTGGCTTCCTAAATTTTCCAGGACTTGACTGAGATGAAGGGCTCTCCCTGATGATCAATTGAAGGGAAGAAAAATTTTTTCCAATAGTGTTCCACTGGGGACTACTGCTGTAGTGGTGGTGGCATTGGTTGGTGGTCAATGCTCCAATTTTAAGGATTACCTGAAGCCAATCTACCCAAAAGAGGGTTTTGATGCAGGTCTACTCTCTACTGTCTACTCTGTGAAAACCACAGCTCCTAGGTAACACTAACCCTAGAAAACCCTCCGGTACATAATATTACCCCCGTCCTCCCACCATATAAAGGTTGCTGCCCATGAAGGAGGGACTGGGTGTGGGGGAGGGAGGGTGGGGAGGTAGGAGGGCAGTGTATTGACACCAACACAATAGGATAGACAGAAGGCAAGTGACAATTGTTTGTCTAAATTAGTAACTAGAAATTACATAAGGGCAGGCAAATATGATGCTGCTGCTGCACTGCTTGTGAGTGACCATACAGAGAATATCTCCTAGAGTTGTGAATCACCAAAAGTAACAACAAACGAAATTTCCTCACCTGTGTCGCTGAAGGAGAGGCTTGCCTACAAACTTCGGGGAGACAATCAGCACGCTGAATTTGGCACCACACCCATCACTCTGGTCCTCCACATCCTATTAATTTTGCAGTAAAATTAAATAAACACATTCTATGTCCTGTACTGTATGAATAATTTCTAAAAGATGTATGGAATATTTATTATTTTTATTAGGTGTAGTGTGCAATAGACAACTGTAGTTACAAAGCCAATGGTCCGAGAAACAGCCATACATAAACAAACATGAACTAATGACCAGACCCCGATCTTCAAGCAAACTTTTTGAGGTTCCAAGCAAACATCGAAAAGCTATCTGGTTCAAGCAAACCAAATAGATGTTCTTAATATTGGGCCTCGAGAAATAGAACAGAGTATCATATGGACATATTGATGTATGAAGGAGTGCTTGATTGCATATTGGCATGAAAGGCACAATGTAAGGTGAGAGAATGATTTCTTTTCTTGTTAGATATATATATATATATATATATGTACCAGGTATTTCATCCTCAAGCAGTGAGGGGGCAGTAGGTTGTGAGCTTTAGATTGAACAGCAGCTTTATACGGTTATTGGATGGAGACCTGAGGGAATATTGGAGTGTTAGTGGTTGGTATCAGCCTAGGAGGGAACACTGCAATATTATTCTTGTATATTTTCTTGTGTAGTATATATTTTTATGTAATAAATGTTTGTATGTTAACAGATGATCTTTGCCCTTGTCCCAGTGAGGCTTCCTAGATGGTGGGTGGGTGGGGGTGGGTTGTTGGGGAGGGGGGAGTGAGTGAGAATCTTGGGGTAATTCTGGATAGAAAATTGTCACTTGAGGACCTCATAAAGAACACTGTGCAAGGAGTCTATGCCATGCTTTCCAACTTCAGAATATAATACATGGATGGTGAAATATTAAAGAAATTGTTTACAATCTTATGGGACCAAAATTGGAATATGCAAGTTGTATGGTGCCCATATCTCAAGAAGCACATCAATAAACTGGAAAAAGTGCAAGCACATCAACTAAATGACTTCTGGAACTGAGAAATAACAGCTACAAGAAGAGGCTAGTGGTGTTAAATATACCAAAGCTAGAAGATAGAAGAAAAAGATGTGATGTGATCAATACATACACAAAATAGTAACAGGAATCAACAAAAAGTGACAAAGAAGAATTCTTGAAAACTGCAATTTCAAGAACAAGATGTCATAGATATAAACTAAGGAAACAAAGCTGCCAAATAAGATTAGAAAGTTCACTTTTGCACACAGTGATTGATGGTTGGAATAAGTGAGGTGGTGGTGGATACCAAAAGCCCTCAGTAGTCTCAAAGCATCATATGACAAAAAGAGTATCGGGAAGATGGAGACACCACAAGCATAGCTCTCATCCTGTTACTACACTTGGATAATTAGACTTAGGTAATTATGCACACACTGTAATAGGAGGGGTACCAGCAGTGCATGGAATAATCTTTCCCCCTCCCCCTATTCCACTCATCATCTTTTTCCTTCTCCCATCTTCCCTCCCTCCCCCATTTCCTGCCTTCTTTCCCTCTCTCTCTCAATACATATAGTTACAGTTTGACAGCTTAAATATTGCCAGCCCACTTTTAACAGGGCTGCACTTGTATGCAAATTTAAGCCCCCCTTTTCTTACCTCTAACATTTTATATTTAAATTTTATACTGATTACATGCCAGTACCTGCATGTTACTTATCTTCAGTGCTGATGTGTTTTTCTAAGATAAACATACAGTACTGAAGAGAATGTCACAATAACACCAGTGAAAATAAATAATACAACCCCCACACACAAAGAAAGGAAAGTGACAACATTACGGCCCATCCTGGACGCTTATTTCTACCTTGACAATGACCTAAAATGGACAATACCCTAATCACTTTCCTTTATTTTCATATGTGTAGGTTGGGTTACAATACTGTATATAATATCACTTGGAAACAGGCTAAATGAACTGATAACAGCATCTGCTAAAAGCAATAACAATTTACCAGGCATTAAATCTATTTTATACTGTACAGTACAGTGGCCCCCTTCCGTTTATGAATTTAATTAATTCCCAGAGACAGTTCGTAACCCAAAAATTCGCAGCCCGAAACAAATTTTCTCACAAGAAATAATGTAAATTGAATTAATCCATTTCCCACTCCCAAAAATAATAATTTCAAAATACATATCATACCTAATAAACACAAATACTTAGTACTATAGTATACAAGTTATAGCTTTATTGATGACTCTTGTTGATGTACGGAACATGGTGAGGAGGGGGGGGGGGGGAGGTGTTAAGTGTTTTGAATGGGAGTCCCCTTCCATTATAACATCAGGCAGTGATGCCTTCTCTGGGGTCTTCTCTCTCCTACCTTTTACTTGCATACCCCTAGGACCTGGTTGTGGCTCAATTTATTTTCTCACTAAAAACCTTTCCATTACTTGTATCTTGTATGTAGTGAGGCATCACTGTCATTAAAAAGGTTAAGGCAACGGCCTACTTCAGCTTGCTTGGGCGAGTCGTTTCAACAAAAGTTTGCATTTCTTCCCATAGTCTACACCACTTTTTAACTGCTGTGGAAGGGACATTCTGTACTGCCTCCTCCTCCCCTAAAGATATTTCCTAAGCTACCTCTTGTTGCTGCTCTTTGTGTAAGGCTAGGAGTTCTTCAGTGGTCAGTTCTTCTGTGTGTTCCTCCACCATACAACACTCAACTGTCACAACACTGTGAATGTCATTTCTTTTTCTAAATTTCTCAAACCATCTACTGCTCGCCTTAAACACGTTCATAACTGCATCACTCATTCCAGGGGTTTTCTTTATAAGATCTTCATGCAATAGCCTTGACTTTTCACAAATGCTGGGCTCTGAAATGCTATCACCGGTTAACTTCTTGTTTTGTATCTATATTAACAACTTTTCAACAAAGTGTTTGTGTTCTTTGTTTTGTGATTGTTGATTTGCCTTTTGTCACTTTAGCACTCTTAATGTCCTTTTTCTTAGCAATTATAGCATATATTGTTGAAATAGATTTGTTGTACTGCCTAGCTAGTTCAACAACCCGTGTACCATTTTCATATTTACAAATGATCTTTTTGTTTTTCCTCTATGGTAATCATCACGTGTGTTTTCTTAGGTTGAACCTTACCACTGACTTTCTTGGAACCCATGGTGTGATATATAATTACTTTTATATTCAAAACCAAAAAGAAAGCAGAAAAACACTGAAATTCTTTACAAAGAATTCCAGTGCAATATCGTCACTAAGCGGGAGGCACTGATAAACTGAAGTGTGGGTGACCATGCCACTAGGAACCACGCAATAGATCGCCCATACATACGTATATTAAACTACGTAACTCGAGGCAAAGCTTGTAACCAGATTCAAATTTTACAAAGAAACTGGGCTCGTAACCCAAAAAATTCATAAAGAGGGCCATTCGTAAGCCAAGGTGTCACTGTACTTCAATTCTAATGTAGAGTTAACTGGATTCATGTATTTTCAAAGCAAAAACCGATTCGAAAGCAACAGACAACCGATACCAAAAATATTCCTAAATTTTCTTGTACATAAAAGTATAAATTATCATTGCATCATAGCAGTAAGCACTGCAAAAGAGTAATATATAACAGGAATGTTAAATAATGCTGAAAAACTTGTGAAAAAATAACTTTATTAGCAATAACTACCTCATACCATGTATCATAAAAATCAAACTTATGTTCATTATTGAACTATTAATAATACTATTCATACACTTCAGCACTGTAAAAGCAACATTTAAATCACTACATTAAATTCATCTTGTTAAAATATAATTTAGAAACATCCTATAGAAAAGCCTACAGACACTAGAGTACTAATTAACAACTAACATACTGTCAATTGCTTTTATTATCTTACTAATACCGGTACCTAATTTACTAGATATAAACAGTACAACACACAATAGAACCTAATCTTGGCTGCAAACAATTAAGCATATATAATGTTAACAATGATAAACACTTAACGCATAAATATAATATAACCAAACAATCTAATTTAACTTCAACCCGCAACAAGACAAATTTGTTGCAATGTATTAAACCAAGAAGCCATGCACTTGTTACAATCAATAAGTGAAAAAATAAATATACAATTCTTGTTACCGGATACTGTACCACAACACTGAACTACCAATCAAATTACTAGAAATATGATTAATATATTATATTATTATTATAATATACAGTAATCTATTTAATCTCAAGCAACAAGCTCTGAACAAATACCCAGGATATACTGGTCCTTCATAAATACATACTGTATATAATAAAAAAGCATCACGATTACCCACATTCACTTTCCTTATCCCTTACTTGGCTCAGCTAATTAAGTCCTACATTGTGCTGTGTGCATGACAAAATATAATTCACAAAATAATTTTTAAAAATTCCATATGGCGATTAGAGCACCGCAAGCAATTGCACATAGCAATTGGAGCCGTGTAGGGGTTCTACTTGTACATGTGAATTTTATTGCTATCCTGCACTGTATTTGTAATGATCTTATCTAGAAGTATGCATATTCTTGTTTGGTCACCACATAAACCAAAATACTGTACTGTATAAAAATTGTAACTTATTTGTACTGGAATGGACATGTAAAAAGACAAGTGGGAGCAGACAGCATACAGAATATTAATACCAAGAAAACTGTGAACAACTCTCTAATTCTGACACTGTCAATATACTATCCATTATCATTTAGTACATTTATCAATGACAGACGACCTCTCTGTGGAGGTTGGTGGCAACACCTCCACCAACCACTGTGTGGTGCACCCGGCCTCACATCCTCCGGCATCCTCTGGGAGGTTGGGATGAGAATCCATCTTTTCATAATACCTTCCCACAAAATGCAACAATTTGTTTTTCTTACTCCACACTGTACAGTTCCTAATTATACTAACATATTTATTTTTATTCAGAGTTTTTGCATCCCCTATCCCCATGTAGGTAGGAAATGGAAATAATGTTTTTTGCATAAATTAATAATATCAATGACATCTTCAAAATACTTCCACTAACAGGCAAATCCACTCAATTCTTCTTCTCTAACTGGAAATAAATGTTGGAGCCAATTGATCATAACTGTGTTTAAGGAGGGGGTGGAGGCAGGTTAGTATTACAAGTGTGAATACGAGATGCTGTACAATACTATCAGAAACAAAATTAGAATTCTCCCATTGTCGGGAACAAAGCTTGTACTTTGACTTATTGAGGTTTCCCTAGGTCAACTGCAGACCTGACCTAGAATGCAACCCTAACTCCCTAATGCCAATTTACTGCTTGGTGAACAGATGCATCAGGTAAAATTAAATATGCCAAACCCTTTCTGTTCTACCCAGTAAAAGAACTTGGGTCCCATGATTGTGCTGAGGACACAGACCACTGTGCTATAGGACCCATTAATATATTTAAAAGTTTTAAGGTTTTATTTTGGATAAAATTCTTAGATTTTGTTTTTAAGACATTACATTTTATTTTTAAGGCAGTTTTATGATATTTTGCTGTACTGTAAAATACATAACAATAGACACCTAGAAATAAATTTTATTGGTTGTATCCAACACTGCCAACTGACTGCGCTACTGTGTATGACTAAAGAAGTGATCGAGTCAACACCAAAACCAAGTACAGTACTGAACTGCATCTACTAACTGAAAACACCACAGACATACCATGGTGCCTTGTACATTACCATTAGAATTTAACACTTGACGGTTTCAAAAGATACAGACCACTGAAAACGTGTGTAGCTAAAGCCAGCCTCAGTCGTATGGATTTTGAACCAATTGGGACCAAGTATGTTATTGCAGTCACCAACCTGTAGCTCTTTGTAAACCAGGCAAAATGTGAAATTACTATTTATTTGTCATGGTCACAGCACATAATGCTTAATACTGTTACCAATACCAATACAGGGTAATTTTGTCCAGGGGTGAGAGGCATTATCCCTATAATTGCTGTGGTAGATAAATGGAAATAATTATAATTAATTTAACCTGGTCGGATATGTCAGGTAGATGACCTAAAAGAAATTTTGTGCACAAACACTGAAAATGAAATAGGAAACAATATAAAAACAAATATGCTCTAGATGATGATATGGGACCCCAGTCTACTTGCCTAGAAAAATGTTTCTAAAAAAAGTTTGACCAGGTCTAATGCTCTTCAAAATAGGCTCTTGGACCCGGCACGTGGTGCTAGTGGTTGACAGCAGACTTGCACATCACCCCAGATAGTAGCATCAAAAATTGGTAATTACAGTACAGTATACTGTACTGTACCGTACTTCTTTCAAGCCCTCACGCTTACACCTCACACTTGTCGTAAGATTTTATATTTGTTAAATAAAGCATATTGTGTAATTTCTAATGTTGCAACACATTATGTGTAAGATAGAGATACAGATATATAGATTATACAATTCATTTTGTCAGGGACAGGAAGCCTGTGTATATCTATATTCCTTAAGCTTATATCGAGCACTCCCCCCCATGGTCCAACTACTGACCCTCCCCAGGATGCAACTCCACAACAGTTGCCTAACTCCCGGGTACTTGTTTATTGCTATTGTCATTTTCTGTACTTCAGGAATTAATGGTAGATATGAAAAGACATAAAACTCCTTAGTAAGCATGCTTATATGTTCTATTTATAATGACAGTTTATATATTTGGAACACAAGTGGCCTGATAGCAAGTTACATGTTTTCATGCAATGAAAATTGCATTACAGTATATAACGATACAAAATATATAATAGATTTACTATTTTCTTTCTAAGATTTTCCATGGTATCTATGTTAAGAACACCTTTTATCCAAATGCAGGCAATGAGTCACAATAACGTGGCTAAAGTATGTTGACTAGACCACACACTAGAAGGTGAAGGGACGACGACGTTTCGGTCCGTCCTGGACCATTTCTCAAGTCGATTGAGAATGGTCACAATTCCATTCACAATCGACTTGAGAATGGTCCAGGCCTTCACCTTCTAGTGTGTGGCCTGGTCAACACCTTTTATCCATATTAGAAATTAAATAAAAAGAAAAAAATACTGTACCCTCAAAAATTTCACTGTACTGTCCTTGGCAAAACATTGGCCACAGACACACACAGTACAGGTACAGCATTTTGGTTAACACCTCTAGTTACTGCATTTACAAATTGGACTGTGATGTCATTCCATATATAAACCTCTTTTTGAGTTATCAAGTTTTGCAAAGATATGAAGTAATTTTTTTACCTCATTTACAAAGATAAATTATAGTATATATACAGAACTTTAAGTAGGTAATGATTGCTGACTTTACTGTCAAATAATTATCTAGAAAAATATATATATACCGTATTATTTATCTTAAACAAGGATTTAAAAAAAAAAAAAAAATCTTTGTGGTATTTCTTTCAGTGCTATCCAATCTCATTATTTAAAATTTACTGCATCTTCAACTTGGTAAATGAATTCTTGCTATATTTCATGGTAAACTGGCAGAAATGGAAGTATAAACAGAAAAGGCAATAGTGGCCACACGAGTAAATGGACAACAGCACTGGGAAGAGGTCTGGAAGCCGAGATGGGGGGGTCACAGTCAAGGAAACAACAGTTAGGAAGCAAAAGCCAACCAGGGAAAGTTGGAAGCTCCTTCTCATCCATATCCAAAAGGGATTCTTGGCTGGTGGTTTTGAATATGAGAAACCAGTTGAACTTTGTACACAATTCAATATTACATATATAAGCACTGTTAATGCAATCATGGGAACTGTTAAGCCATCTTTGACTAAAAGAGGCAACATACTAATAATGGATGCAATGAAAAACCAAGTTACCATGAAAGGTTCTTCACTAAATATCAAACAGGCTGGTATTGCTACAAGCAAGATACTCTTTTCATGGACATGGTAACTCATCAAAAAGAAAATAAATGAACCATTAACAAGGGCATAGCGAAGGTGCCTTTGTGTGGGATTAATGAAAAGGTGCAAACTTGACGGGATCATACACACAATTGTACAAAGCAAGCAGATCAGAGCCATATTAGTAGTGCTGACTAGTTTATGGAGTTTTACTAAAACTGATATACTACACCAAAAACTAGCCACTTTGTCTTCAAATAAACCTCGGTTAAGAGGAAATAAACGATGCACCACCTGTAACAATACTTTGGTGTCAGACAGAAAGGGAGACCAGATGATAGCAAAGGTTAAAACTACTGAAATACCAATCTTACTTAGTTTTAACATGAAGCCTGTTATGCTTCCTTGTTTGGAACATATTCCTAGCAAATAGAAAAATATGGGTAGAGCATGATATAATTCCATTTGTTTATAATTTAATGCTAAACAAAACAAAATCGAACCCAAACAATCCTGGCCCTTTACTAGGGCAGCAACAGCACCTATAAAAAATCCAAGTGATGCATTATTATACTGAAAATGACCGTAATCTATCAGATATAAGCCTGGATACAGCATTAGTGATATATACTCCATTTTCCCATATTTCTTTCGTGGAGAAACACTTGAGAGGGCACAAAGAAACATGTAAGCTGCAGGAATGTACACGAATAGATCAACTACAAACACACTGTACCGCATAAATAACTTGTGCTCATAACTTTCATAACCACGAGAGGCATGCATTTCAACAAAATTGGGGTTCAATCTCTTTGCTAGAATTCCACACAAGTAACTATGATATGAAGTAAGGGGTGGATAGTCCAGGCCCCAGTACAGTAGATCATTACTTGTTGAATTCACGTACCACTCTTTGACTGGTAAATTGACTGTCACCTCCTGCCAGTGGCGCTGGGCTTCATAGTCCCCGAACATTGGGGGTTTACCAGCCCCCGAGTAAGGGTGCAGTGACACACACCATCTCAAGAGAAGGCCAAAAAGTGTGACCAAAACAACATTTGCCATATTTTAAATAACGTTAAATTTTTATTTAGTAAAATTCCAACTACAATGAACTAAACTTTTTCAAATGAATAAGATGATGAATATAACTAGTGCAATCAATAAGATATGCTATATATATACTGTATTTATATGGATATATATATATACTGTATATATATACAGAACAGTATACTGTACTAGATATAGCCTACATAAAATAAAAAAAGAGGCCTCACATATGCATGATCAAGTTTCAGGCATATTCTAATATTGAAGCTACAAATAATCTTATCTCTCTTTCAAGTTATGAAAAGTAGGCGTTTACAAATGACACTTTAGAATGTCTGTTCAAGAAGTATATACTGAAGAGGTGACGAGATGTCTTAAGAGAATGCCGCCTGAACAAAGATGTTGGCAGGCTGTTTCTGAGGTCCTTAAAATCTTCTCAATACTCCCAATCATCCTAGAAACAGACAAAAAATAAAAAAATGTCAATGGACATAAAAGAAAAAATTGTCAAAAAGATTGTGGAAAGCCTTTCATCAGCACATCACCTCTTGCACAGAAAAATACTGGAAAAAAGATCGTGGCAAAAACAGTTCATCCCGTACATCTCCTCTCGCACTGCAACTCACACAGGACTTCATATTGTAGAAATGAATCCTGGAAATAGTTTTAATTTTCTTGCAGATATTGTACAGTCTTTGCATGCATGCTTGTTCATCCTGTCCTTTGTTTAAATTTGATTTGCATATACAGTACAGTTATAGTGTATATTCATTGTGTAGCATAACACAAAAATCAATAATGTCATTCTTTGTTATTGCAAGAGAATCCTCAAATTTGCCATTTTTTAACACTTCATTAGTAATTTTAACTTAAAAGTATACAGTAGCTTCATATTAATTTAAATGCTTAACCCTAAGATGGAACAACTAATTAACCCTTAAACTGCTTCAATCTCTTGAGTGTGACTGGCCCATATGATCCAACTGCCAGGAGATGATTTAAGGTGCCTCATTTTATTAAAAAAAAACTATCCATTTTAGGGGAACATCATTTGACACTAAAAACTTCTATCGATCTTTTGCCATACAGTTTACAGTATTTGGAAAAAATCCAGAGTCCCTTAGTTTCCTTCCAGGGCCTTAATAACAAGATCCAGCTCATGTCTGGAGCATCACCATCTAGCAAATGAACATTACTCAAGTGATAATGGTGGCCATTATCACTTGATTAATTAAACCTACAGTTGATAAAATCCTCGCGCTGTCCAGTGAACAATGCACCCAAAGGAACGTGCCAGGTTTGTGGCAAAGAGTTCGGCCCTAGAAACGATGGGACCTTACACAAACATAATGGCTGCGAGGACTTACGAATGGTACCTATAGAGAGAGGAGACCCACAAGTCCCCCAGCAGCCACAATTCCCTGCTAACTTCCTGTCATCAGATGACCTGGGGGCAATCAAAGCATCCACCACCATAACTCTTACCAACATTCCAAAGCAGCACGCCCATTTGCAGCAAGAAAATATACAGACCTTCTCAGGAAAGTAAATGAACCGTCTGCAAATCTTAATGTTCCTGCCACCATCAATGCATGGCATAATTTGTTCATATTTGGCAATATTTGCTTAGCCATGCCAGCAAGAGGAGGCAAGTTGCTAGCCTCATCAGTCACTAGGTCAATAAATAATCCCCATAGAGCTAACAACCTGATTCCAATCCCTCTTCACTGCAAAAACTGCTGTAGCAGACCAAAGAGTTCCAATGACAATTTGAAATTAGGAACCCCAAGTGACCAAAAACTTGAAGAGAGCAATACAGAGGGGCAATTAGGTTAATTACTAGAGAAGACACAATCGCACCTAGAAATACTGCCACAGCTGGTTCACTGAGAGAGAGAGAGAAGCATCCCTCACAATTGCTATGGGAACCCACTTCTCAGGACACAACTGTCCCAGATCTAGGACCCATCTTCCTTTAAGAGTCAAGAGGTATACAAAGCAATCATGTCATTTCTGCCAGACTCAGCAGAGGGGTATACTGGCATAAGACCTTAGCCCCTCAAGGAGATAGCAAACTCAATTCTTGGCGAAGTTGCCGAGACAATAATTTCCAAGATCACAAAGTCATCAACTGCATCTCTGGCCTGATTGCAGCCATAATTAAACTCTCCTTCACAGAATCCTTTTGTGCCATCAAGCAGGATTGTGGAATCAGACCCATTACAGTACTGTGAATAACACTTCAGCAACTTTTTTTTTTTTTTTTTTTTTTTTTTTTTTTTGCAGGGATATTCCTGCATGGGCCCCAAGTCTCTGGCCGGCCCACTAAGTGTTGCTCGTTTCTGCTTTACTTAGGCAGAGTATGAGTATTTATGACTCGTATGTTCGCTTCAGTAAGATTTTGTTATATGTGTTTAACAACAACTTCTGCTCTGTTGAATCCAAGTTGAAATCTTAATGGGTTTGTAACTGCGCAGTGTTAGATAATGTTCCAGTGGGTTGCCAGGGAAGCTGTGAGAAGCATCTGCATTGAAGCTGCAAAGATGCTTTGACCTCATTAACTAGTTTTTGTCAGTGAAGCAGCAGCTTATGCAGCATGACCCTATATTAATCACATTCCTGAAAATAAGGCATTAATTAAACTACAGTACATTTGAAAAATGCTTTCAACCATGTAAAGAGATATCTGGTACTGGAAGCCGTTCAAACAAACTTTCCTTGTCTACTCCCCCTTCGTTTCAGCAGGATATAGTAAGGAATCGTCACTGCTATTTGGGGAACATTAAGTACAGTGGAACCTCAGCTTACGAATGCCCCTCTATACAAATTTTTCAGGCTACAAGCTCAATTTCTTCGTAAAATTTGAATCAGTTTACAAGTCTTGCCATGATTTGCGAGCTTGTTGATATATGTATGGGTCAGCCGAGCACGTGGTTCTTGGTGGCACAGGCAACCGCACTTCAGTTTACCAGTGGCTCCCACTTAGTGACGGTCGTGCTTGAATTCTTTGCAAGGAATTTCATTGTCTTTCAGCTTTTTTGTTTTTTAAACATAAAAGTAATAATTATATACCATACCATGGGTTCCTCAACAATTAAGAAGTGGTGTGCAGTATGGGAAGAAGTGCAAAGTTTTCTTGAAATGACTCGTCCAAATCAAGTTGCAGTAGGCTGTTGCCTTAACCTATTTAATGACACTGATGCCTCACTACATGCAAGTGTTAAAACATGGTGAAAACAAGTCTCTATGGAAAGATTCTAAGTGAGAAAAACAAGTAGTGAGCCACAACCAGGTCATAGTGGTATGTAGGTAAAACGTAGGAGAGAGGACCCCAGAGAATTCATCACTGCCTGATATTATAATGGAAGGGGTCTCCCCTTCCAAACACTAAAACCTCTCCTCCTCCACCCCTCCTCAGTCTTTCATATACCAACAAGAGTCATCAATAAAGGTAAGCTATAATTTGTACATATTATAGAACAAAATATTTATGTGTATTATGTATGAAATGTATTTTGAAGTTAATATTTTAGGGAATGTGAAACACATTAATTCAATTTACATTATTTCCTATGGGAAGATTCGTTTTGGGTTGCGAATTTTCAGTTTACGAGCCGTCTTTGGGAACGGATTAAATCCGTAAACGAAGGTACCCCCGTAGTTTCCACAGGTGTCCAGTAGAGAAATCCACTTGCCACTTTTTTTTTCTGCATGGTTGCTAAAGAGGTCAAAGGCAAGTTGACCAGTGAACTAAGAATCTGGTTCCTGGACGATGACACCCTGGCCGAGACACAGGAGTCCCTTCTAGGAAATCTACAACCGGTGAAATATAAGAGAGAGGAGTTAGGACTCGCCCTAAATCCATCAAAGTGCAAAATCACTCATCTAGCCAACCCATCTTAGATGCTGTAAGAACTGTCTTATCAGGAACCCTAGTGATTGCCCCCACCACCAATGTGCTGCTAGGGACACCTTTGCACTTGCATGTGCAAGTGAAAGGTGTCCCTTGAAGACACCTTTCCTTGAGGAAAATCTGAGTGACCTGAAAAGGCTGGAAGAAAGAATAAGAGTTTTGGATGCATGCGATGCTTTGTACCTCCTCATATGGTGCCTTACATTGCCCAGGCTTACCTATTTCCTAACGTGTGTTTCCTCTTTCCATAGTCCAAAATTAATAGAATATAACAAACTCCTAAAGACAATAGCCATAAAAAATGTTAAATCTCTTCCTGAAACATGACCGATGGGACTATGCAATGCTCCAAGTTAGACTCGGTGGTATAGTTATACACAAGGCAACACAGATAGTATTGCTTGCATTCTTATCCTCGACCAGTGCTACGAACATGAGCGTGTACTGCTAGAATCCACTCGATAAAACACCTAAATTATAGGGTCTGATTAAAATGCTTAAATCTGTATTTTCTGGAGCACAGGCGGGAGATACATAATTCACAGGTGGAAAATATTTGAGAGGGCTGGTCCCAAATCTGCACACAGAAATAACATCACACGAGACCAAAAGGCATGGAAGGATGTGCAGAGTACAGTACCCCCTGTTGAAAAGCAAAGGTGCAATAAGTACTCAGAACTATCAACATCAGAAGCCCAAGACTGTTCAACACACTTCCACTACACATAAGGGGCATAATTGGCCAATCCCTCACAGTGTTCAAGAAAGAACTCTATAAACACCTCCAAAAGATATCTGACCAACCAGGCTGCAATTCATACGTCAGGCTGTGAGCAGCCCCGTCCAACATCCTGGTTGACCAGACCAGGCAACCTGATCAAAGACCAGGCCACGGGGACCTTGACCCCTGAAATTAACGCAAGGTAACTGCAAGGTAAGGTAACCTTGCTAATTTAAGGAGTAAATTAGCGAGAGATCCTATCAGAATACTCTAGAGACTACTGAGATTTATGATTAAAAATTCACTGAAGGAGCTGGCCAGTGGGACACACTTGCAAACTCTCAACCACAACCAACTTTTCCAGATAACTGCAAACAGGCCAAATGGGATAACCCAATAGTGAAGAACATTGCCACAGCAATGCTGGAAGCCGCTTCTGGGAAGGACAAAGCGTGCTTCCTAGCATGCACGCCCAGCCCCCCCCCCCCCCCAAAAGCCTAAAGTGGCAAAGCCTTGTAAATGTCTTTGCAGTACAGGGCTGATTTTTTTTTTTTTATACAGGTGGGTACAGGCATAGACAAGTTCAGACACCTGCTTACAGTCTTATGAGCTTTCCCTTTCCACAGTTCACATTAACTACTTAAACAACTACACTACTTTCCTTGGAACATGACCCACTAATCCCAAAACAACCAGGTCCCAATTACTGCCAGGTGAACAGGAATGAATAGTTAAGGACTGTTACACAGTCAATTCTCGGCCATAAAATCCAACAATGGATTACTGTATTAATTGTTTCATTGCTAATCTTGACAGCATC